CCTATCTCGTACTCGTTTTCTGTTCTTTTCGTCCAATCACTGAGTCCACAAATCTTGAATTAAGAAATTTTGCTTTCAATAAGCTAATATGTTCATTGAAAAGTTTAAACCATTTTCATTTTAGTTTTAGTAAGTGTTTTACTACCCTTGCAATAGAATTAGATCATATGGGTGCCAAAGGTTTGAAGTGATACTAGAGAGTAACATAGACGGAAAAAAGAAGGCGAGATAATGACGATATCTGGTTGAAAGGAAAGAAGTAGCAAACCACACCAGACACCTGAACAACCCCCAGCCACTCATAGTTCAGCTCCAAAATGATCGATACGTTATCAACAGGGACAAGGGTTCAAACAAATATTGTACTGATTTCTGTGAACGCTAGTCTCAACGCACAACATTAATCAATACTTCCGATACACATTAATTTATACTCAAATATATAGAACCTCACCCCCAACAACAAAAACATGAAAACACTACATGTGTTATCTTATGAAGTAGCGACAGACGGGAACGGTTCATAAAGTTTTATTCAAAATGTTGCTGACACTAGTACACAACAAAAGCATCGTCGCAAATTGCAAACAACTTCGTCGCATGGAAATAAAAGAGAGACATAATTATTACCATTGCCGTTTTAGTAACAGCGTTAACAATCGGGATGAACGAAAGGACCGGCATAGACAGACTGCACTTGACACTCGCGATACTTTGAATCTGGTTCTCTCACTAGTATTGTCATAATGATGAAGAGGATGTGAGGACGACGACAATTTATGGGGATGAGAATGAAGATGTAGGTATCATATTACATCCATTTAGGCATGGCAAGAAATTAATGCATTGGTTGACACAAAATTGATTCAGAGTGCATGTGATTCTATTTATCAAAATAGATGTCTTCGACATACAAGCCGGCACGCTGTATTAAGATGTCTCCTGCCAAATCCTGCAGTTGTAAGTTTGGCCGTCAAATTTAATGACGTCTTGCAGTTCCACAAAGTCAATCTACAGCATCATGTTTTTCTGGTTCAACCTACTTATTTCAGCAAACGGAGACACGCATACATATAATGTGTCATGCTATACGCTTCAACATGTGAGAGTCTTAACTTACATATTTCCCAATGCTGAAACCAGCTGACCTCTTCAAAGGTTTAGAATGAAAAACATTGTCCTAAGATCATTATCCTTATAACACATGAGTCGAATCAAAGCTAAAAATAAAAATAAATAATTTTACAATAGAAGCAACGAAAATAGTATGGTAATGAATAAAATTGAGACCGGAAGGTGATTTGATTTACCTGAAACTAAAATTGTCAGGTTAGATTTCACAAACAAACCAGCTTACATTAATGATAGTTATATAGTTTCTTGTTTCGTGTGCCTCATGTAAGAAACACGTCCAAGATTGCTGGTAGAGATGTAGGAAGCAAAAGGAACGATAACCTTCTGTACATCAGATTACTGTTGGCGAACTGTTACAACATAATATTTCTTTTTTCCCTTTATCTTCGATACAATGATCAATAGCCGCACAATGGAAACGGTACGCGGGTCATTTTCTTTCACAACACAGGGAAGGACAAAAAAACCCAACATAAACAAATACAATTCAGGAAACTAAACATCTATTGTTGACTTTTACCTAGAGCACAATCGTCTTGTGTCGAGGTCCCCCCCCACCCAC